ACAATGATTTTTCCTTTCCCCCTACCTCCCTCCACTGGTAACCACTAATGAACTTTGGTCTCTATACATTTGTGTATTCTTGTCATTTGTTAAAAATGAGGTCATACAATATTAGGATGTGCAAATACATGGTACTAAAAAGTCTAAAGGAAGATTCACTGGTACAGAGATGGCAAAGTTTCCCAGTTTGCAATATGTGTTCAATAATAGGATATTTTAATATTATTGTGTAGTTTCAACAAATTCTAGCCTATGTCACCTGGAGATACATATCACTACTCTTTTATAAGAGTTTCTACTTTATATCAGTTTTACATCATTAAAATGCATAACTTAATTCTTTCCCAATTGTTGGAGCACGATATTTCTGCAAGGCCACTGCATTGGCCTCCACTGTTGAACTGTTGACTTTGTTATCAACTCTTATGTAGCAATTAAATTAGCGAAGCAAGACAATAGCCAAAATTTTATTTGTGCTGAGCAGCAAACGCTAAGTTTGATTCATAAGTAATAGGGATTTTCTCAATAGAAATATATCTAGTGGCCAAGTGAGACCATCTTGAATCCCTATAATGAGTTCAGTAGCTGTCACAAAACTTTATGACAATTTAGGCTTAATACTAACTACTCTATTAGCCTATTATACAGCGTATACCAGTCCCACACCTGGTTAATACCATCACTATCTTTATTGGCCTTGGTTTTATTTCTGTCTTTTGTTTTCTCTGTCTTATTTTGTGGTACTACCACACACTGGAGCCCTTGTGGCACAGTGGTTCAGAGCTACAGCTGCTAAGCAAAAGGGCAGCAGTTGGATTCCACCGGCCATTCCCTGGAAACCCTCCGAGGCAGTTCTATTCTGTCGTATGGTGTTGCGATGAGTCAGAATTGACTCCATGAAAACAGGTTTGGTTTGATTACCACACACCAGTCACCCAAGCTCAAACACTGGGGTCATCCTTGATTCCTTCCAACCTCCATTTCCAGAATGTGTCTCTCTACTCCATTGCTGTCTCCCCTGATTTAGCTCATGTCCTCATCTTCAGTTGCCTGGACCCCTTCGACAGGCGTCCCCTGTCTCCAGGCTTTTCTCCTCAAGCCTGTTCTCCACACAGCCAGGTGTCTTCTGTTTAAACCCCAGACTGAGCAGGCTCTCTGGCCCGATTAAAAGCTTTAAGGTCCTCATTGCCTATTGAATAAAGCCAGGCCCCTGACATGGCTTACAGAGCCCGTCCAGCTTCATCTCCCATCTCATCCTTTCATCAGGACTATCCTGCAACAGTGAACTTCTGCTGTGCACAGTGCTGTTAGAGCTGTTTCTCCCTTCTGAGCCTTTAGTTCAAGCTCTCTCCTTCGCCCTCAAACGCCCGCACTTCTTGCTCATCCTCCAGCTCCCCAGCCCTTGCCACCCCTCATCATTCTTTAAGGCTCAGTTCGGATGTCGCTTCCTCAAAGAAACCCCGCCTCACCCCTGCGAGCCACCCCTCCGTCCCAGGCCAGGCAGGCAACCCTCCTCTACGTTCCCATGTCTCCAGGAACAACACTACATTTCATTGTAATCCTCTCTTATGTGTCTGTGTCTCTCTTTAGAACTTTAGCTCATTCTTCTAAAAGTAGGAAGAAGGGTCAACAACCTAACAGAAAAATATACACGAGGTGTGACTGGGCAGTTCCTAGAAAAAATGCAAATGGCCCTTAACCATTTGAAAAGATGTTCAGTCTTGCTCATAGTAAGAGAACTGTAAATTAGAAATATACCATTTCTCACCTGTCAGATCACAAAAATCCAAAGGTTTGACAACAGACTCTGTGGGCAAGGCTGCGCGGAAATAGGCGCTCTCAGACGCTGCTGGTAGGAATGCAAAACGGTACAGTCATTTTTGTGGGACACTTAGCAATACTGAGGAAAAGTATATATGCATTTACCCTGTGACCCAGTGATACCACTTCTAGGAATCTAGCCCAAAGATATTCTGCCAAAAAATATGAGAAGTGTGCAGAAAGCTATAGTTTGTTGCACTTTTTGTAATAGCAAAAGATTGGAAACAACCCAAATAACCATTAATAGAGGACTAGTTGACCAAACGATGGTACATCCATACAGTAGAGTACCCTGGTGGTGCAACAGTTAAGAACTGAGTTGCTAACTGAAAGATTGGGGGTTCGAACCTCCCCACTGGCTCTACAGGATAAGACCTGGTCATCTGCTCTCGTAAAGATTACAGTCTAGGAAACCCGATGGGGCAGTTCTACTCTGTCACATGGGGCGACTATGGGTGGGAAATTGACTCAGTGGCACCTAACAGCATACAAAAGAGAGGGAGAGAGAAATTAACCTATATTGCTATAGAGTGATCTCCAGATGATCGTAAAGTGTAAAAGGGAAGGCCAAAAAAAGGGTGTTCAGTATGCTACTGTTTCTCTAAGAAAGGAGAAGATATGATTATATATCCATAATTATTTTTTAGAAAGAGTTTCTATAAGGAAAAGAAGGGAACAGGATAGAGTGACAAGGATGAAATCTAGACTTCTCTGAATGTCCCTTATCTTAAGGATTTTTCTTTGGAACCACATAAATATTTTGCTTAATTATAAAACGTAATTTTAAAAATACCTCTGAAGAACGAAAATGAAGCAAAACAAATGACCCTAAATAGGTATAATTTCACAGCAAATAAATAACTCTGGGTTTTATCCTCCATTTCCCCTTTTCTCCAGCCTTTTATCATCAGAATTGCTCACTCTAAGGCCACAATAAGGAGCCCTGGTGGCACAATGGTTAAGCGCTGGCTGATAACCGAAAGGTCAGTGGTTCGAACCCACCCCGCAACTCAGCAGGAGAGAACACTTGGAAACGTGCTGCTGTGAAGATTACACCCCAGGAAACCCTATGGGGCAGTTCTACTCTGTCATATAGGGTTGCCGCGAGTTGAAATTGATTCCATGGCCCAGAGCAACAATAATAAGGTCACAACAGATTGTCAAGCTTGTAGCAGTCTCCAAGGCAAAGCAGAAGCCCACATTTCCCATGGACGCTTAAGAGGAGGAATTAGTCAAAACCCACAATCTCTTATTTTCCACTCAAGTTACTAAGGAATTACTTTTCCTCATCAAGGTTCCTCCTTCCTATCTCTTCACAGCATCACGAAAACTCATTAGGGCAAACATACCTGATGTGCCCTAATGAGTTTCAGACTTGGTGACTAGGAAAACGGTACTTCATGGCACAAATAGGGAATTTTTCAAGGAGGGAAACTTTTAGGTGGGATAGGGAGCCCTTGACTCTAGTAACTAGTCCTAGGTGACCTCAGCAGGAGTAGAAAAGCTTCTGTAACTGCAGAGGACCACTATGGAGGTAAAGAAGAGTGCAGTGCAGGTCAGGACCAAAGAAGATCAGTAATGGAATAAAGACAGACTCTAGTTGCCCACAGTGGGGAATCAGAATCGTTTGTGGTGAGAAGGGTTGAGTGGTTCAGATGAGAAATACTCCTGTATAATACGTTTTTGCTTACATATCTATGCTGTCTGGGTGTTGCAGGTCAGGTTCTCTGGAGGTAAGAGGCATGACGTTATTTGGGATCAACACCTGTGAAGAAGAAGGGGAGGAAGCAGGATTGAGCAGAGGGAGAAGATGACGTGTGATGAGGGTTCCAAAAAACCTTGACCAACTCAGTGAAGACGTGTCCCATGGCAGGCTGAAACAACAGGCCTTTATACCTCCACCTGACTCGTTCACCTGATGCAGGCTGCCCCAGAAAAGCTCAACTCGGGCCGAGGTAGCTCTCTGTAGCTGAGGCCGACCCTGCGGACGGTACTCCCCACAGCTGGGTGGCAAGTCCTTCCTTGAAGGAGGACCTGGTGGTGAATCTCTCTGCCTTTCATACTAATGAACCTCTCCATAGTTAGTACGAGTGTTTTTATTTTCATTTCTGTCAACTAACAAAAGATATTACATTTTTTTGAAAAGAACATCATAGATTTAGTGTTGAAGTAGAAATTACTGTTAGAATTTATATCTAATAGCTTGCCAGGTGGTCACTGTTACATTTTTGGGCAGGCTAGAATTAACTGTTTGTTCATTTATCCATCCCGCAAACATTTGTTAAATGTCTGTTACATGCCAGGCTCTGGAAATTGAAATATGAATAAAGATGCTTTTCCCATGAACTCCGGGGAGTTTAGATTCTAGTGGGGAGCAGACAAAATAGACAAATAACTAAGCAAAGTAGTAAGAGTTAAAAGGATAGGTATCAACAAGATGTTATGGAGGTTAAAGGACCATGACAAGAAGACATCCTCCTAGGAGAGGAGGTACAGGCCCCGGCCCCAGGGAGGACAAGAAATATTTGTGAGAGGACAACAAATGATGCGTAGGAACACGACGGAAGAGTGAATTGTGTGTGTAAAGGATCACAAGAATGAAAGAGCATTGCACATTCTGGAAACCACAAATAAATCGCTATGATCAAAGGACAAATTGTGTTTAAGGAAGTGTTAGACTGTAAGGCTTGAAAGAAATACATCTAGAATTCTCTTATCTGTTTTTTAATGTAATTTTTAACTGTGTTTATCAATCCAGTGTTTCTCAAATATGTTCAGTTATGGTTTGTGGTTTTTGATTGTTTTGTTCTTTTGCAAACCAAACACCTGTCAGCAGAACATTCTTTGGGAAATGTTGAAAGACAGTGGCAATTGAGCGCGTCAAGTCACCTGTTACATAAGCCTGTTGTAGATTTAGTACCTGAAGAGATCTATTCTTACTTGATATTGCCAGACAAGGAAAAGTTGTTGGATGCAATTCTTGGGAATGCTACAGCTCTGTGTGTCTGTCCCTGGGCACTGGAATTCTAAGTTCTGTTAGAAGGAACAACCTGTCTCCTTGTCATAAAGAGCCCTTAGCAACAAACTAGTTCAGGGAGAGCAGGGATGACAGATTCTATGGTTCTTTCTGGTGCAGATTAACTGGTCTGAGGAAGTGAGGAAGAAAGTTCTGTGGCACAGTTAAGGCCTCAACCATGGCGTCTGTATCGTATCGAGAACCAATATCTACTACTGTGGGAAAGCGAATGATGGTTACAGGTAAGTAAAGAGTTTGTGTGTGTCATTTACAGGAGATCTAAACTTTCTTTTTACCTCACCTAGATGAGACTCACATAATGGAGCTAAGAATGAAATAATTTTACATGTAGTCTATATGACGCTGTTACCCAATCCCGAGCACTCAGCCTGGGCTTCCACACCTTGCCGATGTAACAGACCTGCAACATCACAATTATTGCTACATCTGAGCTAAACTTCACAAAGAAACTTTATTTTTCCTTATGTCAATTTCCCTCTTTTTATTATTGTGGCAAAAGTATATACAACAAAACATTTGCCATTTCAACATTTTTTACATGTACAATTCGGTGATATTCATTATGTTCCTCATGCTGTGCAACCATCACCAATATTTATTTCCAAAATTTTCCAATCTCCTTTAACAGAAACTCAGCGCCCTCTAAGCAACGACTGTCCCTTTCCCCCTCGACTTGCCCCTGTTGTTGTTGTTAGGTGCCATTGAGTTGGTTCCAACTCATAGCGACCCTATAGGACAGAGTAGAACTGCCCCATAGAGTTTCCAAGGAGCGGCTGGTGGATTTGAACTGCTGACCTTTTGGTTAGCAGCTGTAGCTCTTAACCACTATGCCACCAACTTGTCCCTGGTAACCAGTAATGAACTTTAGTCTCTATACATATAAGGAAATTTTTTTTATTATCATAGATTTTGTGTTTTGTATGAGGAGAACTACTTTGATGTTAATAAAAAAAGTATGCTTTTGATCACATTTTTATTATTACTTATTCAAGCTTCTTATATTTTTATAAACTTGACATATTTGGTATAAAAATGTGAGCAAGATGTGCATTAAACCTACTAAAACTGTTGGTTTCGATTTTGTTCCTTCAACTTACTTTACATGATTTTGGCAGTATATGTGTGTGGAAGGGCCGTGGTGGTGCAGAGGTTAAGCATTCAACTGTTAATCAAGAGGTTGGCAGTTCAAATCCATCAGCAGCTCCTTGGAAACCCTATGGGAAATTCTACTCTGTTCTATAAGGTCTTATGAGTTGCAACTGACTCCACTGCAACAGGTCTGTTTTCTGGTGTGTGCGGAACTATAATAAAATTTAATTAAATAGAATATGATTGATTGTGATAAGTCTATATGAGCAACTAAATTTTATCTTTTTCCATTTAGATTTTAAATCATGAGCATATTTTACATTGTTACAGAAAGACAGTCAAATGCATGTTTGCGCTGAGCCTTTTATGTTGCTCATCGTCCCACCCACTCCCCCTCTTGTGCCTCTCTTGACTTTGGAGAAACCTCTCCTTCCCCGCTCTTAGTATGCCTGCTTCAGGGAACACCTACTTCCTCCCTGGCTGGGTTCACAACAGGTGGAGCACATGACCTCGTCTAAGCCAATCCACACTTTCCATCTGCACGTCTGAAACAGTGAACGACTGATTCAGAATGGAAACAATGGAAACAATTCATGTCATGCCGACCAGGGCTAAAAGGACTCAAATATGAGACCTGTGCTTGAGTTCTGGGAAATACACTGTCCGTCTGCTACTGGACAGTGGCGATTTGAGTCTGCAGCTGCTGAGAACCCACGGGGAAGCAGGGCCAAGAGGTGCGTCTTGGTGGTATCTACTGAATCTTAAAATCAATTACACCTAAAACCTGCTCTACCTCTTAGACTTTTTAAAACAGACTTTATTTTCTAGCACAGTTTTATGTCACAGAAAAATTATAAAGATAGTACGGAGAGTTTTAATTTACGCCCTCTATACTGTTTCTCCTATTATTAACATATTAGTATGGTACTTGTGTTAAAATTAATGAACCAGTGTTGATACATTATTATTAACTAAAGTCCATAGTTTGTTTTCATTTTCTTAGTTTTTGCCTGATGTCCGTTTTCTGTTCCAGGATCCCATCCCGGATCCCACAGTACTTGTAGTTGTTTGTCTCCTCCGGCTCGTCTTGACTGTGACAGTTTCTCAGACTTTTCCTTGTTTTTGATGAGCTTGACAGTTTTGAAGAGTACTGGTCAGATATATTGTACGATGCCCCTAAACTTGGATCTGTCTTATTATTATTATTTTCTTTTATGGTTAGACTGGGGTTATGGGTTTGGGGATGAGGATCACTGAGGTGAAGTATCATTTTCATCATATATCAAGGGTACATACTGTCAACATGATTTATGACTGTTGATTTTGACCTTTATCACCTACCTGAAGTAGTGCTTGTCAGCTTTCTCCACTGTAAAGTTATTCTCTCCATTCGCCTTTTCATGTCAAACCCTTTGGAAAGAAGCATCTATGCACAGCCACATTTAAGGAGTGGAGAGCAATGCTTCCTCTTCTTTAGGGCAGAATATCTACAAACATTATTTGGAATTTTTCTGCATGAGTGATTTGTCTCTTCTCCCCTGTTTATTAATTTACTCAGTCATTTATTTATAGCACTATGGACTCATAGATATTTATTTTATACTTTGGATTATAATCCAATACTACTGTGTTTTATTGCTCAGATTGTTCCTGTGTTGGCCAGTGGGAGCTCTTTTAGTTGGCCCCTATGCCCCTTTGACGTACTCCCATCAACATGTTTGTGTGTGTGCGCATGTGTGTGTTTTAACACTTCCTTTCTTTCTGGTACCACAAGTGGCTGTATGCCCATCTTGCATATTTCCTACCCCAGTCCTAGAATCAGCCATTTCTCCAGGGAGCCTGGTTCCATTTATCAGAAAAAGGTATTAGAAACCAAGATCTGAGTGCTAGGTGTGCTTGTTGCTACTGGGGTGTCATTTCTTTTAGGCTATCTCAGCTGACAGAGCAAAAAGAATATATGTGTGCATACTAACCTGTGTATATACACATATCAGTAAATATTATGTATGTAACTATCTTTATATTAAGCTCGACATGAGTTAGGTCTCCAATTCTACTCCCTTACTACATGGATCATTCTAGTCTTCTCCCCTTGCTTGTCAGAAATTTCCACACCAATAGTGAGAAATCTGCCTGCCACCATTCACCATGCATTTACTTACATTTTCAATTCCAGTGTACGTATATAGCAGAATCACAATTATTAACCCAAACTCTCATGGGAAACAACTTTATCAACTAGAGCATAGGGCTTAGTGTAGTATTTTTGTCTTTAGTCTTAACAGATTCTACTCAGTTCCCAAGTTACTTAGGTCAGTACCTGTCCCCCTACCCTTCTGTTTATCTTTTTTAGTGAGGAGTCTGTTCCCCTGCTCATTTTTTGATATGGTTATTTATTTCCCTATTGTTGAAGTTTTAGTATACTTTAGGAGCCCTGGTGGCACAGTGGTTAAGTGCTCACTGCTAACCAAAGTTTGGTGGTTTGAACTCACCAGTCATTCCACAGGAGGGAGACGTGGCAGTCTGCTTCTGTAAAGATTTACAGCCTTGGAAATTCTATGGGGCAGTACTACTCTGTCCTATAGGATCACTGTGAGTTGCAATCAACTCAATAGCAGTGAGATTTGTATATATCATATGCAAGTCCATTATTAGATAAGTGTTTTGTAAACATTTTCTCCCGGGTTCTGCTTGTCTTTTCATTCTTTTAATGTTGTCTTTCACAAAGCAGAAGTTTTTAATATTTTTTTCTTATTTTAATTTTAATTTTTTAAATTTTTTGTTGTGCTTTAAGTGAAAGTTTACAATTCAAGTTAGTCTCTCATATAAAAATTTATACATACATTGTTTTGCGACCCTACTTGCACTCCCTATACTGTGACAGCACACACTTTCTTTCCACCTTGGATTTCCCGTGTCCATTCAACCAGGTCCAGACCGTCTCTGACTTCTCATCTCACCTCTGGATGAGAGCTGGTCATTTAATCTCATGTATCTACTTGAGCTAAGAAGCACACTCTTCACAAGTATCATTCTATGTCCCATAGTCCAGTCTAATCTTTGTCTGAAGAGTTGGCTTCAGGAATGGTTTTAGTTTTGGGCTAACAGAGAGGGGGGCCACATCTTCGAGGGTCCTTCCAGTCTCAATTAAACCATTAAACCATTAAGTCTGGTCTTTTTACTAGAATTTGAGTTCTGCACCCCACTTTTCTCCTGCTCCATCAGGGACTCTCTGTTGTGTTCCATGCCAGGTGGCCATTGGTGGTAGCAGGCACCATCTAGTTCTTCTGGTCTCAGGCTGTTGAAATCTCTGGTTAGTGTGGCCCTTTCTGTCTCTTGGGCTAATACTTTCCTTGTATCCATGGTGTTCTTCATTTTCCTTGACTCCAGGTGGGTTGGGACCAATTGATGCATCTTAGATGGCCACTCACCAGTTTTTAAGACCCCAGACGCCACTCACCAAAGTGGGATGCACAACATTTTCTTAATAAACTTTGTTATGCCAATTGACCTAGATGTTCCCTGAAAGCATGGTCCCCAGACTCCTGCCCCTGCTACTCTGTCCCTTGACGTGTTTGGTTCTATTCAGGAAATTTCTTAGCTTTGGTTTAGTCTAGTTGTGCCGACTTCCTCTGTAGTGAGTGCTGTCCTTCCCTTCACCTAAGATAATTCTTGTCTACTTTTTAGTTAGTGAATACTCCCTCCCTCCCCACCCTTGTAACCATTAAAGAATGTTGTCTTCTGTGTTTAAACCTTTTCTCTGGTTTTTATAATAGTGCTCTTACAAAATATTTGTCGTTTTGCAACTAAGTTCACTCAGCATAATACCTTCCAGATTCCTCCATGTTATAAGATGTTTCACGGATTCATCGTGTTCTTTATGGTTGCACAGTATTCCATTGTGTGAATATACCAAAATTTGTTTATCCATTCGTCTGTTGATGGGCACCTAGGTTGTTGCTATCTCTTAGTTACCATAAACAATGCTTCAATGAACAACGGTGTGCATATATCTATTCGTGTGATGGCTCTTAATTCTCTAGGATATATTCCAAGGAGCGGGATTGCTGGATCGTATGGTACTTCTATTTCTAGCTTTTTAAGAAAGCGCCAAATCGATTTCCATAGTGGT